CCAAGCCTCTGTTACATCTCCTTCTCCTGTCCCAACACTACAGTTTAAATTAATGTACCTGAATAGAGTATCCTTTTTTCTTGCAGTTCTGAGAACTATTTAATTATCTAAAATATCCTATTAGTAGACTGCTGTGGGATGGTCTGTATTTCAAATGTGTTGCTCTGATTGGTCAATAAATAAAACACTGATTGGCCAGTGGCCAGGCAGGAAGTACAGGCGGGACTAACAGAGGAGAATTGAGAGAACAGGAAGGCAGAAGGAGACACTGCCAGCCGCTGCCATGACAAGCAGCATGTGAAGATGCCGGTAAGCCACGAGCCACATGGCAAGGTATAGATTTATAGAAATGGATTAGTTTAAGATATAAGAACAGTTAGCAAGAAGCCTGCCACGGCCATACAGTTTGTAACCAATATAAGTCTCTGTGTTTACTTGGTTGGGTCTGAGCGGCTGTGGGACTGGCGGGTGACAGAGATTTGTCCTGACTATGGGCCAGGCAGGAAAACTCTAGCTACAGTAGACATCTTCCTCAAAAATGTATACCATGAACTATGAAGTTTTTAAGTTAAAAAAAAGAAACTAGAATGTTAACTAGAACTATATACTAGCCAGCAGCCATGGTGGTGCACACCTTTAATCCCAGCACTCGGGAGGCAGAGGCAGACACATCTCTGAGTTTGAGACCAGCCTGGTCTATAAAATGAGTTCTAGGACAGTCAGGACAACATGAAGAGAAACTGTCACAAAAAAACCAAAAAAGCTACAAAAAAAAAAAAAAAAAAAAAAACCCACAAACTATCTTAGAGACTATATAAATACCTTTATGACGGCCAATTTACTCCCATCTAGGAACACACTGCAATCCAAAATTCATTCAAGCCTGTTCTGTAAAACTGGACTATAAGTTTCACACAGATTTAAAATTTTGTTTCAAATTGGGAATACAGCTTAGCAGTGAAACACATGCTTGGCCAATGTGAGGCCTTGGATTAACTTCACAGCACTAAAAGAATATTCAAAAGGTGAAGGTTTTTAAATTACTATTAGTATCAAACAGATACTGTGAGATGAAAAGGGTCTGAAAGGATGAGCATTTCGTAACGATGAGACTTCCCAGATGGAACCAGCGAGTGACCCACACACACAAGTCATTCCGCAGCACGCTACCCATTTGTGACTTAACACAGAAGACACTGAGTCTCAGAAGCATCAGCAATGTGTTTGAGACTGAAGGTAAGAACTCATTGTATCCACATTGATAAATGAACAAAGCAGTCAAGCGCCAGCATTCCGGTTGTGTCTCGTGGTCCGCCTGCTACTCTCCTGTTCATCCTGCAATCCACACAGTGAATGAGTAGACTAAAGCGCGGGATCAAATAGGAACGCTTGCTGGCAGTCAGCTGCCAGCACAGAGAGGAGCCCGTTCTCAGCTCGAATACTACGTTACAGTGCAGCTTCCTTATGGCCCACTACAGCACAGTAAAGTAGCTCTTATTTTGCTTTTTTGTATTCACTTATGGGAAGAGAGCTAGGAAAAGAAAAGAATTACATTTAGTTGCAACAGAAAGCACATTTAAATCTTGTGGCTAGAGTAAGCTTTAACTTAGTAAATTTCCCGCTGCACTCACCAAAACATTTTGAGATCATAAAGCATCTACAGAAAAGAAAAGGTTGGCTCAAAGAAAACGTACAAGAAAATGTTATTTTCTTTTATGAAAAGTAAGAGTACGAGGATTTTTCATGTCCTGAGACACAAAACACAGACAGGCTAGGTGTGGTCTGGTGTGGGGGACATAAGCTGGGACAGAAGGAGGGTGTCGACAATATCCAAATATTAATCACAAGTGGGAAGCACTGCCAGCCGAGGGTCAGTTAGACACAGCAGGGCAAGAGGGGCGTGGTTGGGAGGGTAGAGCAATTATCAGAAGGAGCTCCTCCAGCCCCAAAGGCTTGTGGACCCCAGCAGGGCCCAAGCTGGGAACAGACTACCCAGTGAGCAAGCTCAGAAGCCGGCAGAGAGAGCGAAGCATCGGGAAGGCAGCTGTGCCATCAGCAGACTGGAGAAGAAGCAAAGGCCAGGAAAATGAAGCGGCTGAACACACACCAGACACAGATCTGCTCGCTATCTGTACTTCATCTTCTTGTCCAGGGAATAACCTAGGAGAGCTGACCACACCCATAGCTGACAGGCACTCAGGCCAGGATCAAATAAGTCCAACTAGTTTACTAACATGCCGCATGGCTGAGGAACAGTACTTCACTGCCTCAACTCCCCGCTTTTTTTCTTGAGACAGTCTCTCTCCTTGTGTAGGTGGCATTAATGACTTTTCTGTCGCTGTGATAAAACACCATGACCAAAAGCAACTTAGGGAAGAAAAGAGTTGTTCTGGCTCATAGTTCAGGGGCTAAGAGTCCACCATGACAGGGAGAGGTGTGGCCCGAAGTGGCAGGCTTGCAGGCAGAGGCAGGAAGCTAGGAGACCACATCTTAAACTGCAAGCAAGAACAAACTTTGAAACTGGTGAGGTTATAGAATCTCAAAGCCTGCTCCTGGTGACCTACTTCCTCCAGCAAAGCCACACCTCCCAACCCCCCAACCCCCAACCCCTCCACCAACTGGGAGCCAAGTGTTCAAATACCAGAGGCTGTGGGGGAATTTGAGCCTGGGAAGTGCCTCCCAAGAGCTGAGGCTGCAGGTGTGTGCCACGATACCTGGCCTGCCACAGCTTCAGATGATAAAGTTACACCACTCCCGGGTGAGGAGAGTGCTGTATTCACAAAGCATCTAAGCAGGTCTCTCTGCTACCATTATAAACAAAACCAATTTTCAATTACTGACTCATGAATCTGCTAAAATAGGAAAACGTCTAAAAACCCGTAACAGGCCTCTACCCGCCTTGTCAAATATCACAATTCTAATCAATGACTTAAATGAGGTCAAAGGTCAGTGCATTTAAGAAGCTCACAAAAGTCATAAAGATACAAGACTGTGAATAAGGTGATAACAAGAAACATCGAGAAAGATCTCCTAAGACTGGAGATTGATGATACTCCACAGAATACATGGTAGGTTTCACAATTAGATTTTAAAAGCAAGACACACACACACACACACACACACACACACACACACACACACACACACACACAAGATCAAAAGAAAACATGGCTTTACAGCAAGCAACATGCAGAGCCTATTAAAGTCAGTGAAGACCAGAAGTCAACAGAAGTTAGTAAAATCATCCAACCTCAAGAAATGTTATTGAGAGTTCCCCTTTAAGAAATCAGACAAGAGAATGGAGCACCAAGCTGAACTGGCCTGATCAAGCTCCTGACACAGAGTTCAGAGATGTACTTCACACTTGAAGACAAAATTTCTTCTACAGTCTACTGAAGGATTCAAACTTTGACAAGTGAGAAAAGGTTGATAGAATTAAGAACTCAGTCCATGACAGAGAATGCTCATGGACAGCTGGTGGGCCAATCCACATGACACACCAATGCAGTTCCAGTGGACTCTCTGTGTACAGCAAAACTCAACACCCTGCCTGTATACCCAGGGAAAGAGGATGCAAGTGCTAAAGACCCCTCCCCCAAGACCAACACTCCTTCCCAGCTCTCAGCTGGCATCCAGGGCAGCCAGGAGCACCACAAAATCTCTGCTCTCGGCAGACGGCCTGCTCCTAGAACTCTGTTGGGTGGGAGTCTATGATCCTGCTATACCTTGAGCAAAATATTGGCTGGGGCTCAATGTGGATATCCTGAATTCTGAATTTAATCTAATTAGGGCAGGGCATGAGCTCACTAGGAAAGTTAGTCGCTTTTTTCCTGTGAAGGCATAGGAGACCAGATGTCTGCCACAATTATGCTTTTACTTAAGTTCTACTTAGATGAGTGTCTCAGTTGGAGACAGGTATTTTCTTTCCTGTCAGAGGAGCAACAGTCCATACAACACTTTGCTCCAGTGTCCACTTTAATAGACAAGTAAATGCAATCGAAGCAAGGAGGTGTTTCTTAAAAACTCACTTTCAGCATTGTGTCCCAAATCTCAGGAAGAAAGGAAGATGTACTGACAGCTTCAAGATGAAGAATGAGAAACCAGGAAAAATGGGTTCCCTAAGACACCCCAAATGGACAGGCAGGAGATTTTCCAGTGTTAAATTGGGTGACTGCCCAGTGACAGCTCCATCCTCACAGTTTGATGACCTGTGCTCTGTACCCGCAAGCTCATTCCTCACTTTTAATAGATATATCCTGAAGTGCTTCAAAAAAAACTTTCCTAAAGAACAGGTTTTAAAGCCACATAAAGATGCACACACTGGCCCTGGAAGATGACTTAGCAGTAAAGGTACTTGTCGCCAAGTCTGATGAGCTGAGTTCAATTCACAAAACCCACAAGGCAGAGAGAAATGACTACGGAGGGGCTGTCCTTTGATCTCTATACGAGAGTTGTGACATGCATATAACCATATAAATACACAACACACACAAAATACATAAATGCATTTTTGTTTTTGTTTGTTTGCTTTTTGAAACAGGTTTTCTCTGTGTAACAGTCCCAACTGTCCTGGAACTTGCTCTGTAGACCAGGCTGGCCTCGAACTCACAGAGATCTGCCTGCCTCTGCCTCCTGAGTGCTGGAATTAAAACCATGTGCCACCACCACTGGGCATAAATGTAATTTTATAAAGATTTGTACAAGCTAATCATATAAATGAAATTATTCTGTAATTAAACTATAAGAAAGCTTAGAAAGATTTAGAAATGGACATTCCTTGTGTTTAGTATGGAATTAAATTCCACCACAAATAATTTTTAAAAGGCATTGTTACTTTTAATGGGCAAAAAAGAGAAACTACCTTGTATAAACATATTTAATTAAGAGACAACGTAACAGTCACCAACAAGATTGTTGTTATTTCTAACAATATCCAAGAAAATGAGATTACATGTTAGTAAATAAATTATATGCACACAACTACAAAAACAAATGCTTACCTGTAATACAAATTTCTGATCTATGTATTTTTTGGCAATGCTGGGTTGGAATTCTTGACTTTCCAAAAATCGTATGAAAAATTCATATACAAGCTGCAACAAAAAGATTGTAGTTAACTTCAAATTAGAATTCATTAAATTTAAATTAAAATCCATGACACACACATTCCACTAAAACTGACGAGGCTTAGGACATTAGGTTTAACTATCAATCCATGAGTCATGCTGCCTTCCTTTCGACTCACAGTGTGATAATTTTTTGTTTGTTTGGTTTGGTTTTTCGAGACAGGGTTTCTCTGTATAACAGCCCTAACTGTCCTAGAACTCACTTTGTAGTCCAAGCTGTCCTTGAACTCACAGAGATCCTCCTGCCTTTGTCTCCTGAGTGCTGGGATTAAAGACATGAACCACCATGCCCGGCTTAGTGTTATAATTTTTACCTTTTAAAATTAAAAGCAAGAAATATGGCCAAAGCAAATAAAAATCCATATTCTCACCATTTACAGAGAAGCCCACTGGTAAAAGTCTGTCCTCCCACTCCACCTGGCTCTCTATGTAGGTAGTTCAGAGGTAGTTCTCTTCTTCCACCATGTGGCACTGGGACTGAACTCAGGTCAACTTGATGCTAAGAATACCTTGACCTGCTGAGCTATCTTGCTGGCCCACTGTTAACATTTTATGTACACCCCTCCCTCTGAAACATATATCTGTACTATATATAAATCTTTGCATATCTTGATAAGTTACTTTTATCATCTAAACAGTACATTAGAAATAATTTGTGTCAAGAGTCTCCAAACCATCATTTTAGTAAATAGGTCATTACTAATACTTTATAGTGAATTTCGCTGTTCATAATTAAGCAATCACATATACTCACATATTTAAGTAGTTTCTCTAGTGAGGTACTCTGCGATCGTATCATACAAAACATACATTTCTTCAATTACTTCATGAGTAAATATTTTTAAAAGGGGACTTGTCAGATCAAAAGACACCCAAACATTCTGGATTGTGCATAATCACTGCCAGATTTTCTTTAAGGAAGTATATGTCATTTTATACTCTTCTAAGCAATGTTTGTGTAACTCAATATCCTCGTTTGGAAACAGCACAGTCACATGGGCAGGGGCAACCTCAAATAACTGTTCGGATAAACAGTGCAGGATCGATGTTTACTCTCTCTCGGTATAATAGATCTATGTTAAAGGCCACATCAGACTAGACGGCAGCACCACTGAACGAAAACTCTTAAGAACCCAGCTGTAGCCCTTACTAGCTGGATAAGCCTAAGCATGCTCACTTTCCTGAAATTCTGTTTCTTTCATTTTGCAATGGAGATGACAGTAAGATTAAACGTAATGTTACTTGTAAAGCCTTCTGTACAGTGACAAACATAATCACCATCATTTGCCTAAAACAACACTTGTGTTTTTTTCTTCCACACTTAAAATTAATAGACATACCGAAGAGCTTTGAGATAAATATGCATATATGTGTGAATATTTAATTTAGATGTATTTATAAGAAAAAGCTGAGAAAATGTAAAATATGCTTCATTTCATTTTACAATAAAATACATTACATGTTAACATAAGTATATATATTTTTAAACCAACTGTTATTTTAAAACATTATTATAAAGAAAAGAACTTAGCTAGGGCTGCTGAGACATGCCTGGAATCCCAGCACTCAGACTGGGGCAGGAGTGCTGTGAGTTTAAGGCCAGGCTGTCTACTTAGGACAACCCTGACTTGAGAAAATAAGATTAATAAATAAAGCGTTGCACTGTTTGTGTTTTTGGTAAAACTCTTTAATACCTGGTATATCAGAAGATAGATTCATATCTGCTTGACTATTCAAGCTGTGATTTATTGTTTTGGTTGAAGTATACTTTAAAAAAAAAATCAAGGTTGGGAAGAGAATATTTTAGAGTCTTCTCACAGAATCATATTCATTCTTCTTTAATGCAAGCATCAAAACTCAACAGTCTGTCATTTCTGAAACATGAGTTGTAGTGCAGCTTAGAAGTTAAGAGCACATGCCACCCACACAAGAACTGGAATTCAGCTCCCAGGACTCATCAGGTGAATGGGTGTATCGGCCACCTACAGCTCCAGAGGCAGAGATGAGGCATCATCGTAGCAACTGGCTAGTCCAAGTGTACCACTGAGTTCTGGGTGTGACTGAGAGACACTGCCTCAAAGGGTAAGGTTGAAGAACAATGGAGGGTAATTCCTGACATTAGCCTCTCAACTCCACATGCACGGCATGTGTACACACACACATACACACACACACACACACACACACACCATAAAAAAGTAAAAAGTAGAAAAAACAGGTTGCGATGCAGAATCTGAAATGATACCAATGAACTAGCCAACTATCCCACAATCTGGATGGACCTTGATTGTGTGTGTTCCTAACATGGGTCATTTTCCCATTGGGAATTATTGGCTCACTGACTCACACAGACTTTTCAAATACTGACAAATCCTATTTCACAGTATCTTTTTCTAAAAATCACATTTTTTTTCCTCCCAAGAACAGTCCTTAAATTTTGGGAGGCTAGAAAGCTTGGTATATAACAGATATCTATTATAAGACAGCTATATGCTATATAACAGATCCTGGCTTTCTAAAGTTCAAATTCTAAGTTATACTTCTAGTGTTTAGATTCTATGAGTATGAAGAATTATTATCAATTGGGCTTCCTTGTTTTAGAGGAATACTTGCCAAATGTCTAAATCTTAATAACCAGTGTGTTGTTTTGTCAAGTACAACTGGTATCTCCTGAAAAAGCAGCTAGGATAGCCTGTGGTCAAAGTGATCACACAGCATGCTTCCGCAGCTAGGATAGCCTGTGGTCAAAGCAATCACACAGCATGCTTCCGCAGCTAGGATAGCCTGTGGTCAAAGCAATCACACAGCATGCTTCCGCAGCTAGGATAGCCTGTGGTCAAAGTGATCACACAGCATGCTTCCGCAGCTAGGATAGCCTGTGGTCAAAGTGATCATACAGCATGCTTCCGCAGCTAGGATAGCCTGTGGTCAAAGTGATCACACAACATGCTTCCGCAGCTAGGATAGCCTGTGGTCAAAGCAATCACACAGCATGCTTCCGCAGGACCACCACTGTACTGCAGCATGCAATAATGTGATCTATTCATACGTCTCATGTCACCATGCAGAATAATTTTAAGTGTATGCTTAAGGGTCACAAATGGATAGAATTAGTCACTTCTGATGCTCTTCAAACACTCTCAAGTGCAACGGGCATCTTTCAATTTCAAGTGCAGACGGGGAATAAAACTGCGTCCTTGACAGTCCGACACTGTCTTCATTTGTGCTAAGTCAACAGCACTTTTAAACATCACTGTTGGCCCAGTATGGTGGCACACATCCTTAATCCTGGCACTCAAGAAGTAGAAGCAGACAGAGCTCTGAGAAATCTGGGCCAGCCTGGGCCAAATCTGAGTTCCAGGATAGCCAGAGCTACACAGTGAGACCCTGCCCACCACTGTTTTCATAATTAATAGTTCAAACTGTACGATGACTAATAAACACAGGCACAAGGGCAAATACCACGGAACTGTGATAAAGAAGTAATAGGGGCCAGGGAAATGGCTTAGTGAGTACAGGGGCTTGGTGCCAAGCCTAAGGAGCTGAGTTCAATTCCCAGAACCAGATGGTAAAAGGAGAGAGAGAAGCAACTCCCAGAAGTTGTCCTGATCCCCTACACACACACACACACACACACACACACACACACACACACACACACACACACAGGTGTGTGTACACTCTTACAAACAAATAAATAAATGTAGTTAAAAACTTGTATTAAAAAGTGTTGGCCTTACAGGCCACTGAAGACTAACTGAGGGACTTGTAAGGGTCCATAGATATCACTAACTTAAATATTCTTACAGAAGTCCGGTGGCTTCCGACTCTAACACTTAAATGTAGTATTCTTGTTAGCATTTGTTACTATGTATTTAGTGTGTGTACATGAGTGGAAGGTAACTTCCAGGATTAACTCCCTCCTTCCACCATATGGGTTCTGGGGATAGAACTCAGGTTGGCGCTGCCCCTGCCCCCCTGCCCCCTGCCCACTTCCCCGTAAGCATCTAATGTTTTTCATGAAGCTCTGTGGTGTGGGGCTACGTGTCTGCAATCTCAGCCAGCAGGAAGATGAGGCAGGTCTAGGGTTTCCAGATGGGGCCTGGGTGACACAGAGATACCTCATGTCAAATGAGGGAGGGGCTGACAACTCACAAAACTGTGCGTGGGTTTGGTTTGGTGTTCTCTTAAAAGCTTTCTAAATTGGGGGGAGGGGGGGAGTCTTTCCCAGAGATGTGGTAGTGTTGTAGTCACAATATGCTTGAATTTTCCCTCCCCACACAACTGTTCTCTTTTCAACACACTCATTTCTCAACTCCTGATTTTTCCATACAGAACTGCAGACTTGTCAAACCACCCTTGTCCCGAATCCACCCAAAGAGTTCCTTCTCCCAGGCCGCAACTGACCATCGGCCTTTCCACCGGGGCTGACGACTGGCTTTTCCTACTCTGGTCCCTTGAAAGCAGTTGCAGCTTAAAGTAACTTGTGGAAACACTTCAGACACATTTAGAAATAAGCACAAACTGCACCTCAGTATCCAAAGTCTCCCTTGAGTTTATAAAGGGAGAAAACTGGGGTGGGAGTATAAATTACTATTTGAGGTCTCGTAAGGAAGGTCCATGAGCAAAAAGTTAGCATTCCTGGCATCAAGTCTCACTCTAAGGCACTGAAAGCCATCCTTAATTATAAACAGGTCCTGCAAAGTTATATTCTCCTGGGAAGGCAGATCTAATCTCAGAAAACACACAAACAATAACCATGGGAACCGTGTCATACTAGCTTAAAATACACCAACAGAAGTACTAGGAAAAAATTAAACAGCAAGCACACAAGTAAACCCTGACATATGTGTTCAAACACCGTGTGAAATTGATATTCTGTTATCTATTTCATAATTCTGTGCAGGTCACAAATTAAAAACAGAGTTCTGCCGGAACAGTGAGTTAGCTGGACAGTAAGAACAGCCAACCACAAACTAACCAATCACGTCATTTCCTTACTCTCTATTATTCTCCAATAGTCACACTTTGCTCTCTTCCAAAATGTGGTCCAGAAGAGGAAGCATGTTGTGAATTATGGAATTCACAAAAGTGAAAACAATCAGTTGTTGTAACAATTTAAAGGCTATTAGACGGGTATAGTGGTATACAACTCCAGCACTCAGGAGGCAGAGGCAGAAGGATGGCCAGCCAGAGACAGCCTGTGAGAGACAGACAGTGAGAGAAGGCCAGTACGAACTTCATGGGGAGACCTTATTAAAAAAAAAAACATCAAGGGCAGAGGATGTGGACCAGGCAGTGCCAGCCAGCATGTGCCAAAACCCTGGGTTCATCCCTAGCACTCAGAGGACAAGTCAGATAAAACATTGAATTTAGTGACATATGATCATGGCATCAATAATCAACATGAAAAGAGATTTCTTTAAATTAATTTATTGTGGGGTGTGTGTGTGTGTGTGTGTGTGTGTGTGTGTGTGTGTGTGTGTGTGTGTATAGGAGTTGTACATGGGAGTCAAGAGTCATTTCTCTCCTTCCATCGTGAGTTCCAGGGACCAAACTTGGATTTCCAGACAGGTGTGACAAGCACCTTCACACTCAGCCACCTTGCCAGGCTGAGGAGATTTCTGAAACACTCCCTGAATGATCCTGTCAGTTACAGCCATCCACTTGAGAAATGGAAAGAATAAAAGGGTGACTGATTTGTGCAGGAAGGCTAGCCCAAAAAACCCTAGGGCTCTTGACACCAGTATGGACCTGCGCCAGGACGTCCACAAAGCAGCAGAGAGTGAAGTCAAGCAGGCCCTCTCGCTCTGGCCTCACCTCTGTGTCTTCTGAGACGGGATCTCGCAGAGCCTTCCGCGGCCCTGAACTACTCTACAGCTGAGGATGACCGTGAGCCCTTGACTGCCCAGCCTGTCTCCTGGGCCACCGTGTCTGCTGTTCCTGTGACTTTTCAGTCAGCTCTTTGCACCTGCTCCAACCTTAGTCACACTAGTTCCCTCGGAGCTAAGACAGGGCTGGACGGACGACAGGCTTGAACAAGATGTCAGCACACATACAGCCAGCCCCTTCTGTAAACATTCTGACTCCCTATCTCAAAGGGCAAAAGTCCCATTGCCAGGCCTCACTGTTACTGTAGCGTCATATGAACCAGCAGTTAGCATTCCCACAGTCAGTGAAGCTAGGATGCGGTACACACGTTAATGCAATAGCTAAGAAATTAACTTAGCCTTCTATTTTATATTCATTAAGTACAATTTTATCTGCAAGTTCTTTATAATGACATTTTAACATTTTTTTTTTAAGTTCAAGAAGATAAATTGAAATATTGAGTCAGTCCTTGTTGAATTTTAGGGGAAACTTATGTTTAAGAAAGTGCTAAAAATGCTTTGCAAATGGCAAGAATGACCTGGCTCTTCACTGGGATGTATACCACAAGATGTAGGACATTCCTAGAAAAATTAACTTTTTCTTTTTTAATTATTTTTTCTCTCAGACTAAATTTCAATCAAATTGGCAGGTACCAAGCATTAAGAATAAGACATGACGGGGCTGGAGAGATGGCTCAGGGGTTAAGAGCACTGACTGCTCTTCCAGAGGTCCTGAGTTCAATTCCCAGCAACCACATGGTGGCTCACAACCATCTGTAATGAGATCTGGTGCCCTCTTCTGGCCTGCAGTCATACATGCTGTATACATAATAAATAAATAAATCTTAAAAAAAAAAAAAAAAAAGAATAAGACATGACACCTAGTTGCAGTGGCATACACCTTTAATCCCAGTACTCCGGAAGCAGAGGCAGGTGGATCTGAGTTCGAGGCCAGCCTGGTCTACAGAGTGAGTTCCAGGACAGCCAGGGCTGTTACACAGAGAAACCCTGTCTCAAAAAAAAAAAAAAAAGAAGAAGGCACGACATTTCCTCTAGTGGTGTAGCCAACAATAAGTTGCCCTTGCCCCAGTAAATAAGCCCTGACCCATGCTCATGCAAGCAACCCTAACTCAACTCAGTGGGTTTAAAAGAAAAAAAAAAAAAAATCAATCCAGGCAGGGTGGCACATGCCTTAATTCCAGCACTCAGGTGGCAGGGCCAGGCAGACCTCTGGACTACATGGTAAGACCCTGTTTCAAAAACTGAAAAGAAAAAAAAAAGAAAATCAAAGCAGGCCGCAGAACTGCCAAAAAGCCAAGTTTCAGTGACAGAAGGAGGGTAGGAAGGGTGAGGAGGGAACTGATCGAAGCAGCTCGCTAAGCTCACGCGAGAAGTCATTAAAGAATTCTTAAAGAAGAATGACACACGACAAGAATTGTACCATTCAAAGGGGTTTTGTTCTGTTCCTTCTTGAATTGTGTATCACCTAGGATATACACATGAAAGCACACGAGGCTTACAAATCTTACAGTACACACACACAATTCACCAGTTAGAGAAAAGAAGCGTCTAAGCTAAGAAATCAAACAGTGTTTAAACTAATGTAATCTGCCCAGCTTGGCAACCTCTAACAGGACCACACAGTGTCAAGCCTGAGGACATGGTGACAAAAACAGTCCTGCCCTGGAACCAGGAAAGACATCCCACTGTGTACTTAGAGCAACCTATAGGTACCAGAAAGGGACAGGCCAAGTGGCGAATCTGTATCAAAGCCTCTAAAGTGGGGAAAGCATACACTGTTAGATTCACCTCACCCCTCGAAACGTCACTGAGTGGCTCCCCCTGGGCTGCAGATGGACAAGGCTACGTTTCTTCTCTCCAGCCCTCCCCTGCCTTCTTGTTATTTATCACTGGCCTCTGAAGACATATTCCAACTCAATGGGAAATGGCTTTAGGGTCAACAGAGTCAGGCTTCTCTGTTTTCTTCCTTTGAGGGATGTTGGCCTCAAGAAAGGACACAGAGGAATAAGGAGCTGAAAAGTGTCAGCTAATGTGTCAGCAAACAAGGTAGGACCCGCCACTAGCCTATGCAAGGCACTGGTGGTCCTGACTCCCCGGCATGGGAAGTGATCTCCGCTCAGAAGAAAACAGACCTTCACCCCAGCTTTCTCTGTTGTTTCTGTCTCACGCCACTAGAAAGGAAACTGCAGTTTGGCTTTGCCCTTTGAGGAAACGGAGGAAACCCACTCACTGTTATCGCAAAGACAAAGCATACAAGGTCCCTGGGCACCTACTGCTAAAAATGAGGTATGTACTCCACAACCTAACCACATCCAGCTAACACTAATGTGAAAACAGTTTTGCTCTTGGTTGAAATTCCACTGGGCGGGACCACAGAAAGGTTCTGATAAAGGAATAAGACTTGCAACACGGGGACCCAGTGGGTCATGCAGAAGTACTGCACTGAACCCACTGTTCCCTCCTTCTGCCATGCCAATTATCAAGCACAAGCAACACAAAAGCCCCTGCACTCAGGAGGCAGAGGCAGGGGGATCTCTGAGTTCAAGGCCAGCCTCATCTACGGAGCGAGTTCCAGGACAGCCAGAGATACAACAAAGAAACCCTGTCTCAAAAAACTAAAAAAGACAAGACAGACAAAAAGCACTCTTCAGCTCACCATTATGTCTTCTAATTTGGTCACTTCCTTTCAAGGAGTGCCCATGCTCATCAGGAGAAGAGTTAATGGAGTTTTCTTTTATAAAAGAAATGAAAAGTAGAAGTACCTGTAAGTGGGGCCATGATGCCTCGAGGGTAGGTTCATCTTCTTCTGGGTCGAATTCATTGCTGTCACTAGGAGGGAGAGTTCTGAATATATTGCAAGATACCTAAAAATAAACAAGCAGCAATCAGCTCCAAGTACCTTTGGCAGGTGCTCTGGGGACACAGTGCACATGGGAATGCCACAGGACTGAAAATAGGGACCTCTTTCCACGGGCTCCAGGCTGGGACCACCTCAAGGCAAAGCTGGAAAGCCCCAGGGTGACATCTGGCACTCTCACTGGCATCCCCAGCCCTGCGAGTGGACATGTCCCATCAGAGCTGGTGCTGGTTTACTTACCAGTCAAGTGTGTTTCTAACAAGTCCATTTACACTAATACACAAATAACTACTAATAGCTGCCAGCACTTCCTTTTCCTGCCTCACTCACGATTTACAATTCAAAATTTATACGTTTATCATTGAACTCATAGTGAAATTTCTGGTATTTGCACAGACCAAAAAAAAAAAAAAATAGAATCAGTAAAGAATTTTAAGAATCTTCCTAACAGCCTTTAAAATCACACCTAATCCTGCCCTAATTGGTTTACAAATTAGTATGGAAGTCCAGGATACACTGTATCGATACCTAAATCTCTAGGAACACAGCATTCCTTTGCCATAGGCAATATCCAAATTAAATTCTGTCTGTTCAAACGGCTGTAAGCTGGAAACTGTTGAATGAGGATGAAGAAGACCCAATGTATCTTCCACTACATCTATTACAGGATTCTAGCCACAGAACACTCATTCCTGACATGCTAGTCATGCTATTCTGATGGTTCCTTTTTCATTTCCATGCTGTCTCTCTTCCTCCAGGCTCAGCTAACCTTGCAATCCAACACATCCTCTGACCAGAAGACTAAAGCAAGGAACAATGCGGGGAGAGGAAGGGTAACATGACAGCCCACCCCAAGCCTTGCAGGACCTTCTACTCACGGTGGAAACAGCTATAATGAGCGGCTTTTAGTTTTGTGGTTTTGTTTCACTATACAACCCTGGCTGGCCTTGAACTCAAAGATCCACCTGCCTGCCTCTGACTCCAGGGTACTGGGATTACAGTACTATGCCTGGCTGATGTGCTGATTTGAAAACGAAGAGAGAAAGGCTTTTAGAAGTCCCATAAGGTGGGTGGGTGTGTTTCTTCATTCAAGCACTTATTAGTACCTATTACGTGTATACACTGTTCTAGGCACTGTGAAAATAATAGTGAACAAAGAAAAGACCACTCCTTCATGAAAATTCTATTCCAGTTAAAGCTGTAAGATCCCCAATTGCCCAGCTATGAACACTCAGCTCAGTAAGCTATGAAAAAGTGAATGAATTTTATTGGAAGTGCAACAGAAGTCATTAATGGATTGTATACAGGGAAACCACATGACTTGATTTTTTTTTTTTTTTAAATCAGTCCAGTAGCTTCAGAGAGTTTAAGTTGTATGACAAGGACAGAGATAGCCCAGACTAGAGGGTGGCAGAGAAAACAAGACGTGTAGAGTGGCAGAAAGGAAAGAATGAAGGATGGGGGGTTGAAACGATAGCTCAATGGTTAAGAGAACTGATTGCTCTTCTAGAGGATCTAGGTTCAATTCCCAGCATCCAAGTGATGGCTCACAACCATCTCTAGCTCCAGTTCCTGGGGATCTGACATCCTCTTCTGAAACTCACAGGCACCAGGCATGTACACATAAATACATGCAGGCAACACCCCTACACATAAAATGAAATAAATGAATCTTTAAACAAACAAAGGATGAGTTCCCCAAAATGAAGACTGGGGAAAGCAAAGGTGTTTTGTCTCGTTTGCTTGTTCTGGTAGGAAGACTCGGAGGTCCAGCTAAAGATGTACTAAAGGCAACAAGACATATGAACCTGGACTTGTGAACGAGATGATCGGAACTGGAGACGTGAGAACTTGGGCGTATGGATACTTAATGCCATGGTACTACTGGATCACTGTGGAAAGGGTTGCTGTGCACCCCAACATTTAGAAATGAAGTAGACCAAAAAGTGCAAAGTGAAAGCAGGGGGTAGAAGAGTCAACTAGAGGTTGGGGGAGGGGGGTCCTCTGAGCTAAAAGAGGAAACTAATGAGAAAGAAGAGGGCAGTAGCAGCGAGTGCTGTTCAGAGGTTGGAAAAGTTGTACCCAGGGCAGGACATGGCAGCCACGGAGTGTATACTATCACAGCTCCAATAGCCCCTGGGGACGGGGCCCATGAACTCAGCTCCTAGGTGACAGTCAGGACCCAGCACAGGTACAACAGAAGCTAGGATGCCAACATCTCCCATGATCTAGAAGGTAGACTGGCAACATTTTGTACTTTAGCTCAAATGACAGGGGAAATATTAGAGTATATATTTTTGCTACAGGTAATTTTCTCTTCTAGCAATTATGTGATAGTGTATTTAAGAAGAATCTAGTGACTTAGAAACTAGTCACTAGATTCAGATACCTAGCCACCTAGATGTCTCTTCAAGAGTCAGCCAAGCATATTCCAATTCACAAGGTCCTTTATCCAATTTGAATCACTGCAAGAGTATTGTTTTCAAAATCACATTTTCATCTGAACTAAGTCATTTATACTGAACATGCCTTTTTTGGGGAACATTTTGTAATTTTACCATTCATCAGTTAGTTCTCATTGGTGTTGACTATCTTTTTCCCTCCCTCAACACATGTAAGTCATGAAAGAGAGGAAAGGGCTGTTCTACGGAATATCTGAGCAGACACTGGGACTTGTATGTAGCCTGGGAGATGCCAGCTCTCTTTAGGGCCTACCACTTGCTACAGCAGCCGTCTGTTTTCTGATCTGCCTCGGGCCAGTCACAGAACTAAAAAACTTCAAGACACTTGTGTTCCTAATACCTACAAGGGATTCAATAAGCATTTGGGGGGAGGGGGGTTTAGATGTATTTATAAAGCGATGGATTGGGGTTTTACTTTAACCAAATCTCAGTTGAAGTCTTCCAGGTGATTTAAATAAATGCAGGTTATTCAGGAGAACACTTAGGACTGTACAGTGTTGAAAGCCTCTGGTTTGGTCAAAGTTTCATTTTCTGCTACTTCATCAAAAGAACACCAAGGTGTGGAGTCATTTCTCCAGTGCTTTATTAGTTTACTTCTACACCTTCTCCAGAGGAATCCCAGGGTCTGAGTAAGGAGCTTTCCAGCAAAGAAAAAGAGTGGCAACGAAAGGCCAAGGTTTGGGCCCAACCTGGAACACAGTATGCATAAACAAAACGCCATGGCCTCTAAGAAACTAACCCAAGACTAGGCTGAAAGGGCTACGTAAAGCTTTCACTTGCAACGTTCTCCAAAACATAAAACTGGAGAGAACCTCTCCGTCCAATTAATTAGAACAGACATCAATTCCAGGAGTCGTGTGAAGCCGTAGACACTGTGGCTATAGCGGGGGGGGGGGGGGGGGGGGGGGGTCCTAATAAGAATCTAGGTGCATGACTATAATTACAAAGAACAGTGTGGAGTGCCTCATGCTAACTGACTGTACACCACTGTAGCTCCAAGAACGGAAATGAGTAACAAGAATATTGTCATCTAGAATCAAAAAGCAAAACCTCAGGTCATGAGTGAATGACTTAAGAACTGGACGAGTTTAAGTGTAATGCTGAGTTCCACACTACTGAATGTGAAGTTGAGTCATTACTGGATGGGGAGTAGAGGTCACCTTTAAATCACTTGATTTATCTGCAACAGTTTATATGCAGGGCCCAATATGGGGAAAGGGCACTTGACAGCCCCACCCCATAAAGGTGACAGTTCCCTACCCAGATTGTATACTTGCTTCCATGAAAGCATTCATGATCACTGGCAGTGACTCATGGCTTACAGTCCAGCAGACAGTCGCCGCATGTGTATACAGTAGATCATGACCACATGCAATCACCAGGACCATGCTCAACCACACAACAGTTCTATAATGAGCTTATGTGGCTAGATGAAAATGCACTTAGGTATTTCCAAAGCTTAAAAAAAAAAAACCTCGAGTGCTCGGGAGGCAGAGCCAGGCGGATCTCTGTGAGTTCGAGGCCAGCCTGGGCCACCAAGTGAGTTCCAGGAAAGGCGCAAAGCTACACAGAGAAACCCTGTCTCGGAAAAAAAAAAAACAAAAACAAAAACAAAAAAACCTCTATATTAAACTATATGAGACACTAGAGGCATTAGTAAGCCTTCTATTTTATTAATTCAGGAACGAATTATCAAAAATGAACAACAGAAACTTTCAAAGTAGATTAGGAAGCTAAAAAGATGTTAAGTGGTTCAGAGCACTTGTTGCTCTTTGCAGAGGACCTGGGTTTGATTCCCGGCATCCACATGGTGGCCCACAACCATCTATAACTCTGATTCTGTGGGTTCTGACACCTTCTTCTGGCCTCTTCAGGTATGCAGCCGTGTACATCATAAATGCAGGTAAAACACACATAAAATAAGCAAATCAAAGTATACTAGGCCCTCTCAGCTATTTTATTTTAATTTTACTGGTATTAGTATGAAGGAAAAGTATAAAACATAAATCTGAGAAAGTCTAACTCCTTTTCATCCCAAAGACATAACAAACACTGAATACTATAATCCAACTAAAGGTCTGAAAGCACTGGCCTGACCTCCAAAGAGTGGCCATAAAGACAGAGGAGCAAGGCTAAGGAATGGAAGGAAGCAGTGTAAAACCTGCACAGCCCTCTGCACGGGAGAAAACCCCGAGGTCAGGGACTGAACTCAGGGCTTGTAAAGTCAGACCATTAGCAATTCTTATCCAGACTCTTCCCTTTACAATGGGATAAAGGGAAGGTCTTCAAAGTAGTAGTGTCCGAGCTCATCACAATTCTTCAGGTTCCTCCCCTGATACCCTCCCTACCCTACTCCCAAGGCCACCCCTGGAGACCAAGGGTGGGCCTGGCTATTCCTTTCCCTTTCCTCTGACCTCCCTGCCCCTACTGCATTCTCTCTCTTTTGTTACTGCCTCATTTCCCCATCTCACCTGTCCATCATCTAGCTGCTCCTCGGGTTCTTGGCCAACCAGTGCTACATCAAGCACCCACAGACACTAGCATC